ACCTGAGGCCCTCACATTCGCCAAAGGCCCTCAGCAACACCTGAGGCCCTCACCAACACCTGAGGCCCTCACCTTCACCAAAGGCCCTCACCTTTGCCATAGGCCCTCACCTTCGCCAAAGGCCCTCATCTTTGCTAGAGGCCCTCACCATTGCCAAAGGCCCTCACCTTTGCCAAAGGCCCTCACCTCCGTCGGACCACCGCCTGACGTCGTTGCTCCGCCGAACAGCCACTTGAGACCCTGTGCTCAACCAGGACACCACATGAGGCCCGGACTTCTACTGGGCCACTACCTGACGCTTAGAGTTTTACCAGAGTATCGTCCTACTACAACGGTCTTTCAGATCCCGGTCTCTTGCCGACTACGGTCCTACCGACCTACGTCGTCTACTATGATCCTTTCGATCTCCATCACCAGACAACGGTCTTTCCAACCTCCATCCTATCGACAATGGTCATGCTGACAAAACAAATACATCTATTGTAACTCCAACCATGTAATGCACTCTATTTAATGTACATTTGTGACATCAAGTCAAGACCTTCTCCCTAAGAAGGCCTCATTTGTAATCAACTACAAATACTAGTGGATTCACTCAAACTGGGCCATACCCCGTGGTTTTTCCCCCTTTTCAGGGGTTTTTCACGTAAAAACTCTGGTGTCTCTTATGAACGCTACATCCTCTCACTTATCTGATTGTGTGTTGGATCTTCGTACAATGCTAAGACGTTAAACTATATATTTCTCTACCGCCGCAAATACTTCAGGACGAAACAAGTACCAAAATTAAGAAGCAATAAAAAAGGCATCTCAAGTATTATGATGCCGCTGTTGCTTAGTTTTTCTGAAGCTAATTCAAGCTTTTTTTTTTTTTTACGTGTTATTCAAATTTTGATTGGACTACTTTCTTAGTGTTTAGAAAGCAACTTTTAATTAAAAAAATTTAACTAGAAAACTGTTTTATAAAAATTTCTTTGCTTACATTAATTTCGCCAACTTCATTTTACATTTGAGGTGGCCTATTTTTTATTATATTTTTTTTTTTTTTTTTTGACTTATTTGTAACTTTGTAACCAAATTAAACCAAATTAGCAAATTCCAGCTCAGCGAGGCCTCACTTCCCAAAACCAGCATTGAGATTGCCGTCCCGCTCTTTAAAGCGCCACACAACCCGCATACAATTCCAGCAAAACGAAGGAAAGCGAAAATCCTCTGCTAACTTGCTCGAATTCGCCGGAAAATGGGATGCATTAGTAGAGTGATGAGGGCTACGAGCGTCGCGGTTTTAGGGGGTGACCACGCGGAGCATGGAGCCCAGTGGTGCGCCAGAATTGATTCGATAAAGCTCGGGAAGAAGCAACTTGCAGCAGCCGGCGTAATTCCGGCTGCGTGGTTCGCAGCCGATCGGTCGCGAGGCGACGGCGGGCTCCGGGAGGAGGGTCCGGCGCAGGCGGAGGACTCGCTGCGGAAGGTCATGTATTTGAGCTGCTGGGGCCCGAGCTGATGGCTCTGATCGAGATGAAGGAGATCAGATAGCTTTCTGTCAACGGTGTAGAATGTTTCTTGGCGGTCTCGGACTCACGGCAACGGGTGGGTCGTCGGCGCTGGGCCAGGATGGGGCAGAAGCGCTGATATGAAGCTGTCGGAGAAATTGTTCAATCGTTCATGCTTTTCTAATTTCTTGTAAAAAGGCTTGTAGAATTTGGAACCTGATTTGTTGGGATGGAAATTAATAAAATCTTATGGAGATAAAAAACCTTTCAATTTGTTGGAGCTAAAGCGTGCTAAGCCCTGATTAATTAAAAGAAATTCCACAAGGAGTGCTTAAGTAAGCTCAGCTTCTTGGATTAAATTGAGGATAATTAAAATATAGGAGAAGTCTAATTTTATAATATAAATGAATGAAGTTATAATAAATTGATCATAAAAGAATTTAAACGCAATTTTTTCAAAATTATATACATGTCCAGATTTTTATTATGTGGCAACATTTTCTATACCAATCAATTTAATAAATAATTCTTTTTTTTTTTTAATATTCAGATAAATTAAGTCAAATTAATACACATCACATATATAAGACTCAAACATAAGATATCTTGATTGGTTGTCAAAGCTCCCAACTAACGGATGACGATGAGTTGTATAATACACCGTTTAGATTTAATTTTTGTGAGAGGTAATTGTTTATTACATTAGCTTCATACTTTGTCTTCATTTGTTTTAATCATAGAATTTTTTTATTTTGATTGTTTTCATGTTTTCATCATTTTCAAGATTTAATATTAGTTATAATTTAGTTTTTAATTATTGATATGTAATAAAAAAATAATTTACTTTAGAAATAATTTGTCAATCTAAAAATTCAAAGTATTAAAGCATTTAAGTTATAAATTTGTGTTCTATCCTAGAATACTCGCGGCGGTAGAGAAATATAAAGTTTAGCGTCTTAGCTTTTTACGAAAATTCATCACGCATACATATAAGAGAGAGAGAGAGGGGGTGCAATATTTGTAAGAGACCACTACTGTTATGTGAAAAATCTTAAAAAGGGGAAAACCCACTAGGCTTAGCTTAGTTTGAATGAATTAACTAGTATTTGTAGTTGATTACAAATGAGACCTTTCATTGGAGGGAAGGTCTTGGCTTGATGTAATAAATATACATCATATAGAATGCATTACATGTTAAAAATTGGAATAATTAGTACTGATATATTTGTTTGGTCGACAGTATTATATTTGGTGAGCGACGGAGATCATAATGACAGTATTCTGGTGACGGTGTTCAGAAGGACTGTTATCATACGATGGAGGTCGGAAGGATTGTAGTCGGCAGACGACGGAGGTTGGTAGGACCATTGTTTTGCAATCGAGATCAGAAAGACTGTAGTCGGTAAGTGACAGAGGTCGGGAGGACCGTAGTCGACATGCGATGGAGGTCAGAATGATAGTAGTCGGCGGGAGACGAGGGTCAGAAGGACTGTAGTCCGCGAGTAATGGATGTCGGAAAGACTGTTGTCTAGCGACGGAAGTCAGAGATATCGTAGTCGGTGACAACGGTGGTTAGAAAGACTGTTGTCTGGCGACGGAGGTCGGAAGGATCATAGTCGACAGCGACAGAGGTCGGAATGACCATAATCGATGGGCGACGGAGGTCAGAAGGATGTGTTTGACGACGGAGATAGAAGGACCGTAGTTGGCTAGTAATGGTGGTTGGAAGGATTGTTTTCTGGCGACGAAGGTCAGAAGGGCCGTAGTCCGTGGGTGACGGAGGTCGGAAGTATCGTAGTCGATGGGTGACGAACGTTAGAAGGATCTTAGTCGATGGGTGATGGAGCCAGAAGAACCGTAGTTAGCGGGTGATGGATGTTGGAAAGATCATTGTCGACGGGCGGCAAAGGTTGGAAATATAAAACTCCTTAAGTAAAAGAAGTTAAACTTTTAAATATTGATGCGTCTTTTGGTGTAATATTTATGATTTCACTAAGAAACTCCGAATTTAAGCGTGCTCATCCCAGAGTAATTTTTGGATGAATGGCCTAGTGAGAAGTTACGCCAGCAGGATAAAATCGTGATGCTTTTAGGTCAAAGCAGACAATATCTCGATAGTTAAGAGTTTGAGTACGTTTTTACAAAAAAGACTGTAGTCTAGCCATAAAGGTCAGAAGAACTGTTGTCGGGTGGAAGTCAAACAATAATTGGAAGTCCGAAGTTAGTGGTTAGGAAGAGGTCCGACGTCAGTTGGGGGCTAGGTGTAATTCTGACGATAGTTGTGAGCCGAGCGGAGGTCTGGCAAAAGTTCTACGACAGTCAGTAGCTGGAAGAAAGTACAACGAAAGTTGGTGGCCGAGCAGAAGTCTGGCATCCTCCGGTGGCCAGGTGGAAGTCCGACTGCTGGCAAGGAAGTCTGACTGCTGGCAAAAGTCAGGCGTCGAGCAGAAGATCGGTGTCGGGCAGGTGTCCGACGTCTAACGGTGGCCAGGTGGAAGTCTGGATACGGGGGCATTGGGCAGTAGTATGACGAAAGTCCGGCAAATAGTCATGGTGGTTCAGTGGAAGTCCGAGCGATTGTCAAGGAGGAGCTTGGAGGCAAGAGATATCTCATATTTCTCTTTCTTCCTCTCCTTCTCTTCCTTGCTTGGGTCCCCTCTATTTCTCCTCGGGGCCCCCCTCAATAAAGAATGCATGGTCTATTTAAAGTTTTCTTAGAGTGACATGACTAATAAATATGAGGGAAATAAAGGGTAAATCGAGAGTGGTTTGAATGGATAGTAAATCATTTATTATGCATTTGATTTTCTTAAAGATATCAGAATTTGATGATGTTGAGTTCGTTGGATTTGTCTCGTTGAGCTCCCTCAATTCGAGTATAAGCATGTCATGTTTGGAAACTGTTTGGTAATCCAAATTATGATTTTACTATCCCAATGCTGCAATTTTTAAGGCTAGTTGGTTTTATTTTTATTTTTATTTTTTTGATGGGGGCACGTGGCCCCTTCACCCGCCCATGACCTTCAAAGAATTTTGACGATATTTGGAAAAAAATATGATGAAGCCAATATGCTGCTGTTTCTTAGTTTTTCGGCAGCTAATTTGAGCTTTTTTTTACGTGTTATTCAAATTTTATTTGGGACTATTTTCTTAGCTTTTAGAAAGCAACTTTTAATTAAAAAAATTTAACTGGAAAACTGTTTTATAAAAATTTCATTGCTTAGATTTTTCGTCAATTTCATTTTACATTTGAGGTGGTGGCCTATTTTTTATTATATTTTTTGTTATTTTTTAATGAGTTATTTGTAACTTTGTAACCAAATGTAACCAAATTGGCAAATTCCAGCTCGGCGACGCCTCACTAGCCAAAACCAGCATTGAGATTGTCGTCCCGCTCTTTAAAGCCCACACAACCCGCATACAATTCCAGCAAATCGAAGGAAAGCGAAAATCCTCTGCTAACTTGCTCGAATTCGCCGGAAAATGGGATCCATTAGTAGAGTGATGATGGCTACGAGCGTCGCGGTTTTAGGGGGTGGCCACGCGGAGCATGGAGCCAAGTGGTGCGCCAGGATTGATTCGATAAAGCTCGGGAAGAAGCAACTTGCAGCAGTCGGCGTAATTCCGGCTGCGTGGTTCGCAGCCGATCGGTCACGAGGCGACGGCGGGCTCCGGGAGGAGGGTCCGGCGCAGGCGGAGGACTCGCTGCGGAAGGCTATGTATTTGAGCTGCTGGGGGCCGAGCTGATGGCCCTGATCGAGATGAAGGAGATCGGATAGCTTTCTGTCAACGGTGTAGAGTGTTTCGGCAACGGGTGGGCCGTCGGCGCTGGGCCAGGATGGGGCAGAAGTGTTGATCTGAAGCTGTTGTAGAAATTGTTCATTCGTTTATGCTTTTCTAATTTTTAGTAAAAAGGCTTGTAGAATTTGGAACCTGATTTGTTGGGATGGAAATTAATAAAATCTTATGGGGTGCTAAGCCCTTATTAATTACAAGAAATTCCACAATGAGTAGTTAAGTAAGCTCAGCTCCTTGGATTAAATTGAGGATAATTAAAATGTAGGAGAAGCATAATTTTTATAATATAAATGATTAATTGATCATAAGTGAATTAAAATGCAAATTTTTTTAAAATTATATATATCCTGATTTTTTATTCCATCGCTATATTTTCTATACAAATCGGTTTAATTCTTTTTTTTTGGATATTTAGATTAATTAAGATAAATTCATACACATCATAAACGTAAGACTCAAACTTAAGATCTCTTGATTGATAGCCTAAACTTACAACTAATAGAAACAAAATTAGCTATATAATACATCGTTAAGATTTAATTTTTGTGAGAGGTAATTGTTTATTACATTAGCTTAATACTTTTTTTTCATTTTGTCCTTATCATAGATTTTTTTTTTTATTCAAATCTCATCCAACTAAAAATGGGCCAAAATTAAGTTCTTAGGCATAATTAAAAATTCTCCGTTATTTGGGAGGCCAAATATCTTATAAATGTTGGATATTTAGATCAATTAAGACAAATTCATACAGATCACATACATATGACTCAAACCTAAGATCTCTTGATTGCCAGTCAAAACTCCCAACCAACAAATCAAGATAAGTTGCATAATACACTGTTAAGATTTAATTTTTGTGAGAGTTATTTCTTTATTATATTAGCTTAATACTTTATCTTCATTTTGTTCTTATCATATTGTTTTTTTCTTTATCATTTTCATGTTTTCATCATTTTCAAGATTTTATATTCGTAATAATTTAGTTTTTAATTATTTATATATAATAATAAAAAAATCATCTGCTTTAGAAATAATTTATCAATCTAAAAATTCAAAATATTTAGCTAATAAATTTATTGAATTTAATTTGATTGGCTAATTTTAACTTTCACCAAGTTTATAGGTAAAATTCTGTAATTTGAGTTACCTTATTAATATAAAAAAACATCTATATTCCGTCTCATCCAACTCAAAATGCGCCTAAATTAAGCTCATAGACATAATTAAAAAATTCACCGTTATTTTGATGCGGTGCACTTTTAGTAAATAGAAACTTGAGGCATTATACCTTGCAGCTGCCATACCGTTGCAAGGAGCACTACCTCTTACAGCTTTCTATTTTTATGCTTATAGTACTACAGCAACTTTACACTACTAGTTAGTTTTCTTAGAAACTCTTTTTCACCATAGAATTATATAGGAATACTTGTAAGTATTATACAGTTCAGCTTTTAGTTATCAAGAAGAAGAAGAACTTCTGTTTCCTTTTCTCCCTGTTTGTTCTTGTGTTTGTTTTCTGTGCAGGATACTACATCAGAATTGGTATCAGAGCCAGATGACCGAGAGCAGCAGACGGGTGGCTCCCGGTGATGATAGAAGCCTTGAAGCCCTTTGGGCAGAGCACACAGGTTTGGCTCAACACACAGAAGTTTTGGAAACGGACTTCCGCCGTTTCTGTGAAGAAATTCGTCGAGATTTGCGGAATTTACACGCTCAAATGGAGCGACCGCCAATGCCGCGAACGGGCTTGCCAGCAACCATACCGGCTGCTCGAAGAGGGATTGGAGGCGGGAGAAATCCACAGTTCGACGTACCCGTGAATGCTGGATCGGATTCGGAAGGAGTTGATCAGTTTGGAGTTCTAGAAGATATGACCGACTCAGAGGATGATATGGCAGCTCCCATTCGCAGGCGGCGACAGCGAGGTGCCGAGAGGTATCCGGGTGAGTTTAAAGTCAAGTTAGACATTCCTTATTTTGATGGCAAATTACATATTGAAGATTATCTCGATTGGGAGAGATCGGTGGAGACTTTTTTTGAATACATGGAAATCGAGCCTGAGAAACAAGTCAAATATGTCGCGTGTCGACTTAAAGGAGGAGCAAGCGCATGGTGGTTACAATTGTTGCAAACGCGTCGTAGAGAAAGGCGGGGAGCAGTGCGCAGCTGGGTCAGGATCAAACAATTGCTCCGTGGACATTTTCTGCCGACAGACTATGAGCAAATGTTGTATGTTCAATATCAACACTGCAGTCAAGGGCACCGTTCTGTTAACGAATATACCGAGGAATTTTACAGATTGAGCGCTCGAAACAACTTAAATGAATCTACCAATCAATTGGTGGCTCGATACGTCGGTGGTTTAAAAGATGCAATTCAGGAGAAATTGGAAATGAATGCGGTATATTCATTATCCCAAGCAGTTAATTATGCTTTAAAAGCAGAGATACAACTTAATAGACATCAGCGGACGGGCCAAGGAAGAAGGCAAGTAGACACAACAATTGACAACTCACGGACTCAACCAAATACTCCACAAGTAAATCGGGCACAGCAGCCAGTTAGTAGCCAGCATGTACCAACGGCCACTCCTAGCAGAAGCAATGAAGTCAGAGCCAATCAAAAGTTTAAAGGTGCTGCCAAGGATAATCCGTATGTAAAACCCACCACCATTAAGTGCTTCAGATGTTTTCAACAGGGACATAAATCCAATGAATGTCCTACCAGACCGCAATTACAACTATTGGAAGCGGAAGATGAAGCTGACGGCAGTGAACCTGAGGAAGAGCAAACTGTACCGCTAGAAGATGTTGGCGGAGATGAAGGTGAGCCGCTCGTGTGTGTACTTCAAAAGTTGTTGTTATCCCCCCGGCAGCCGAATTCTTCACAAAGGAATGTTTTGTTCAAAACGAAATGCACTATAGCCGGCAAGGTGTGTGACTTGCTAATTGATAGTGGGTGCACGGAGAATGTGATATCTAAGGCTGTGGTGCAAGCCTTACAGCTTAAAACAACTAAGAACCCAAATCCGTATAAAATTAGCTGGGTCAAACGAGGAATGGAAATCGCAGTTTCGGACATGTGCCGAGTGCCAATTTCGATCGGAAAACACTATGCAAGTGAGGTTCTATGTGATGTAATTGATATGGATGTGTGCCACATCATCCTCGGGCGACCATGGCAATTCGATGTGGGAGCATTACATGATTGCCGGGCTAATAGATATATGTTTGACTGGAAGGGAAAACGACTGAGATTAGTGCCGAATCCTCCAAACCGTGAGCTGGCTGCTAGTCCAAGAAAGAGTGCAATGTTTGTGGTCTCAGGAAATACTTTGCTCAATGCATGGAAAGAATCCTCATTAATTATGGCTCTTATTGTAAAAGAGCAATCTGCCACCATGGTGCCGTCTACTCTACCCGAAGAGGTTAAAAATCTGCTTCAGCAGTTTTCAGATTTATGTCCAGACAAGCTACCCAGTGAGCTGCCTCCTCTTCGAACGATACAACATCAGATTGATTTGTCACCTGGTGCCACTCTGCCAAATTTACCACACTATAAAATGAGCCCTGCGGAGCACAAAGCACTGCAGCAAATTGTAGATGAGCTACTGGATAAAAATCTCATTCAACATAGCTTGAGCCCGTGTGCAGTCCCAGCATTATTGGTTCCTAAGAAAGACGGCAGTTGGAGAATGTGCATGGACAGCAGAGCAATCAATAAAATCACAGTCAAATTCAGATTTCCGATGCCAAGAATGGAGGAGATGTTGGAAAGGTTGGCTAGTTCACAAGTGTTCTCCAAATTAGATCTTCGCATTGGCTACCATCAGATTCGCATTAGGCCTGACGACGAATGGAAGACGGCATTCAAGACACGAGAAGGGCTCTACGAGTGGCGAGTGATGCCATTTGGACTGTGTAATGCACCAACAACTTTCATGCGTGTGATGAATGAGGTTTTAAAACCATTCTTAAACAAATGTTGTGTGGCTTATTTTGATGATATCCTAGTTTTTAGTAGTGATTTTAAAACACACCTGAGGCATTTGGAGCACATCTTTGAAGCTTTAAGACAAAACAAGTTGTACTTAAATGTCACAAAATGTGAATTTGCCACTCAGGAAGTCTCATTTTTGGGATTTAAAATTTCGGCTAAAGGTGTAAGTGTTGACCCGAGGAAGGTAGAGTCCATAAGGGAGTGGCCAAATCCTAAATCATTCTCCGATATACGGAGTTTTCACGGCTTGGCGAATTTCTACCGAAGGTTTATCCGGGGTTTCAGTATTATACTGGCTCCGCTAACGGATGTGCTTAAGCAAAAATGTTTCTGTTGGGGAGAAGAACAACAAAGAAGCTTTGACACCATCAAATCAGCCCTTTCAACAGCACCGGTATTGGCATTACCGAATTTTGATAAAGCCTTTTCAGTCGAGACAGATGCTTCGTTGGTGGGCATTGGAGCAGTGTTAGCACAAGAAAACCGTCCGGTGGAATTTTCAGTGAAAAATTGAGCAATGTGAGACAACGATGGTCAGTTTATGAACAAGAATTGTATGCGGTGATTCGAGCATTGAAGCAATGGGAGCATTATCTGTTGCACCAAGATTTTGTTTTATGCAGTGATCACAAAGCACTGCAATATATTAACACTCAGAAAAATATCAATCGGCACTCATCACACAGTTGCAATCTGATTTTATGGGATTAGAATGCTTGCAGGACTTATATGCGGCTGATGCAGATTTTGAAGTTGCTTGGAGAAAACGTGTTAACAAGGAGCCCATGGGGGAGTATTCTATACGCCATGGTCATTTATTTAAAGGTAATCTGTTATGTGTCCCAAACTCTTCTTGGAGACAGTTGTTAATTCAAGAAATACATGGCGGAGGGCTCTCAGCTCATGCGGGGCGGGATAATACCATTGCTCAGATGCAAGCCAAATTCTTTTGGCCGCACCTCAGGAAGGACGTTACGAAATTTGTGGAAAGGTGTTCAATCTGTCAAAGCTACAAAGGAGGAGGGCAAAACACCGGTTTGTATAAGCCACTACCCGTTCTGGAATCTGTATGGGAGGACCTAAGTCTTGACTTTGTGCTTGGCTTGCCTAGAACCAAGCATGGCAATGACTCAATCATGGTGGTCGTGGATCGTTTTTCAAAGATGGCGCATTTCATTGCTTGCAAGAAAACTTTCGATGCTTTGAACATTGCCAAATTGTTCTTCCGCGAGGTGATTCGGTTGCACGGTATTCCTCGCAGCATCACTTCGGATCGAGACGTCAAGTTCATTAGTCATTTCTGGCGTGAATTGTGGAAGCGGCTGAATACACAATTACGACTGAGCTCGCCTTATCATCCTCAAACCGACGGCCAAACCGAAGTTGTTAACAGAACCTTGGGAAATCTCCTTCGGTGCTTGGTGCAGGAACACCCAAAATTATGGGATGAAGTTCTCGGGCAGGCTGAATTCGCATTTAATGCGATGCCCAATAGATCCACTGGTATGTGCCCATTTAGTATTGTTTATACTAAGATGCCAAACACTCTTGTTGATGTTGCAGTCATAGCAAACTGCAAAAGCAAATCAGCCTTCAATTGGGCGGAACAATTCTCAGACCTGCTTGCCAAGGTTCGTCTCAAGCTGCAAGACTCAAATGCAAAGTATAAAGCAGACGCTGACTTGCATAGGCGGAAGAAGATATTCCAGCCCGGAGATCTAGTTATGGTCCGTTTGCGGAAGGAGCGATTTCCAGCAGGAACCTATTCCAAACTGAGCAAAAAGAAGTTCGGACCATTTCCAGTATTGCGGAGCATCAATGATAATGCATATCTTATAGATCTTCCTGACGATTTTCACACCCCTAAGTCGTTCAACATTGCGTTGAGCTCACTCTTGTTTTCTGGTGGTTTTCAGGTTCTGGGAAAGGGAAGGAAGTCCAGGAGTAGATTTCTGAGTTCTGATCCGTATATGTATTGTTTGTACCTTTTGATTTTTGTACAGTCATGGCTTTTCTGTTCTGTCTTTCTTTCTGTTCAAAAGCCATGTACTGTATCTGTAGATGATTGTTTTGAGGAAAATGAAAATATAGATGTTTTGTTCCGCTGCATTTGGTGATTTATAGTAGCTCTGTTGTTCTGTGGTTGTGTGTCTGTTGAGTTGATTAATTTGGAAGATTCAGTTCAGTAACCAAATTCCAAAGCCAGATCCTGGATAAGAAGGTTTTGTAGCGGTCCGGCTCGGGCGGGATCCGTCCCCGTCGGGTCGGGTCATGACACAATCACTGGCAAACCCTCACCACCTAACGACAATCTCTTCAACCTCCATAGCACGACAACTGTCCCTCCGACCTCTATCACCCACCGACTATGATTTTTAAATCACCATCACCTGACTATAGTCCCTTTTCCCATCCATTGCCCTTCAACTACAATCTCCCTGGTCTCCGTCCCCCAACTATAGTCCCTGGAACCTCTATCACCTGCCAATTATGATCCTCAAACCACAGTTGCTTGATTACAATCCCTCCGACCTCTATCATCTGACTACAATCCATTTTATCTCTATCGTACAACAATGATTCTTCTACCACCATTACCCAACTATGGTCATTTTGACCTCCGTCACTCGCCTCCGACCACTATCACATTTCAAGTACGGTCCTTAGACCATCATTGTCCGACTATGGTCCCTCTGACAATCTCTCGACTATGGTCTTTTAACCTAAATCGCTCGATTATGGCCTGCCCAACTACCATTACTCGATAATGGTCCTTTCAACCTCAATTGCTCGATTATGGGACCCTCTGACCTCTATTGCCCGGCTATGGTCCCTTCGACCTCAATCGCCAAATTATGGTTCCTCTGGCCACTATAGCCCGAATACGATCTTATCGACCAAATGAACAAGCCAATGTTCTCTCGAGCACTAATTAATTCATTTCAACTAGGCAAAGCCCATAGTTTTTCCCCTTTTTAGGGGTTTTCATGTAAAAATATTAATATCTCGTATGATTACTACACCCCTCTCTCTTATATGTATGTGTATTGGATCTTCATATACATCAAGACATTAAACTCATCATCTCTCTAATATCACGAGCTGTTCTGGCACGTAATAATTTGATCGTGTCTATGGAAAATGATTCTTGGCTGGGGGGAACCTTTGCTACAAACTTGAAAGTTCGTTCACATCAATGTTTTGCGTACATTTGAAGCAAGGTCGTCTCTTTACCATGACATATTATCAGTTCCAAAAGCGACCCTTCAATATTAAAGGCAACATTAATGTAACAATAAATAAGAATTGTTCTATGATCTCTCAATCACCAGCCATTACTGCATCAATTTGTGGGGAAACAGATTTGAACCGTGACCAATCTTGGTTATAATCTCAAATACGATTGTGATCAGGCAAGTCCCTCAACAATAATATTGTTAGTAATTATCTTTCATTGTCTTGGCCTCAAAAAGGTAGTAACGGTCTAAAAATATATCAATCTTCACCTTCGATTCAGCATTTGCCCCCTCCCAATAAAGGCATAATTGATTCCAAGAGAATTAGCTTCAACCTGTTTCATATAGATTAACATCATCGAGTAATGCTCTAATAAATGATCTCAGATATGTCAAATATTCTTAGTGGATTCCCTCGACCTCTTCCAAAAATTTTATAATGGATTTCTTGGTGTGGTGTGGCTCTGTGATTTATTTTCAGAGTTGGGATTTTTCATGTTAAATCATGATGTTCTTTCTTTTTTGCTGCATTTTCTATTACTTATTTATTTTGCTACGTGGTTTTACTTCCTCCCAATAAAGAATATAATTATATATTGATGCTTTGATAAATAGAACTTTTTTGGCTGGTTATTTTACTTTCAATTGAAATTAGTAGATCATGTTTAAATTAAGAAGAAACAATTCTTCCAATATAGATCTTGAGGTATGGCATAAAGACTATTGAAAGTTATGTTAAGGAGAAAGTTTGTCCCCTATAATATCACAAAGGGCATCAATAAGTTGAGATTGATTCAATCTTACCAACATTGTTGGAAGACTATAAGTTAATTGAGCAGCACAGGGCAATGTTCAAGAGACCTTGATAAGATTGTGGTGGTGGAGGAATTGCACCATGATGGTGAGATGGCAGTCAATGGATATCCTCAAATTAATTAGCCATGGCTTATTATTGTTTTCAGGATATAAGAGCTGTATTATGTTGTGATGGTTCTCTTTGCTATCTGCCTCCTCTAAAAGTTGAAGAATCTAAGCTTGAATATCTTCCATCTTGCATATAAGATCTTCTAAAGTCAAAGCTAAGTGACCTTCAACATCCACATTGTGTTATCCTTAATTAAGGGATTAATTGTTATCTATTGAAAAAGTGCTTGTAAAATATTAGAAATATTTTCCATAGATGACACTAAGTTATTGCATGCTAGAATACTCGTGATGATAGAGAAAGAGAGATAGGGACTAACATCTAAGCTTTATACGCAAATCCATCACACTCACAAATAAATAAATAAAAAGATATGAGACATCCTATTTTTATATGAAAAACCCAAAAAAGAACAAAAAAATCATGAAGCTTGGCCTTTTTGAAATACTCCTATATATATATGAATTTACAGAAGTCTTATTTTCCCCATAATTGAAGAGGATATGATTACAAAGTTGGCCACTTGCTTGATTTTCTATAACTTAGCAGAGAATGTGGTAGAAGTATTTGAGAGATGATAACAACAATTAGACAATGTTAATCAGGCAGCAACGATTACATGAAGGCAGTTCAATGACGATCATCTGATGATAGTTGTACAATATATATTGTTTGAGTGATAATAGTCAAAAGATAGCAGTGATATTCAGTGTTGAACATTATGTTGAGCTTTATAGCTATTTAAATCTCCAAGCTATCTCTAATTTTAAATTAGCCATTTCTTTGGAGAACAAAGATTTATTTATTATATTTTGGGAGTTATATTTTTATAGATCTAATTAAAATTCTATAAAACTCCATTGGATATTTGGATGACCATATTGAATGCATTCAAATTTATTGATATAGTATTCGTTATATTAATCTCATTAATACAGTTGATTTGACTATAAATATACAAGATTTGGAGACTATTTAATACTTCAATTAATATCATAAAATTTTTAATCATAATATAAGTTCTTAATTTAGGCTAATTTAGACTCAAATTGAATTATTTTTGTAAGTTGATTTTAATTTTTTTAGATAATTAAAATTTAAAAGAAATTTAATTATTATTGTTTTCGTAGATTGAACCTTCATTTAAGTTTTATATTCATTTCTTATATTATGTTAAGTGTGATCTCAAAGTGATTATTTTTTAATAATTATATTATAATATTATACGGATTATAATAAAAATTTTAAATTAACATAAAGTACATTTCTCTTTAAATGAAATGCATTAATGATGAATTCACTTATATATAACGTATTTTCTTTGTGAAATTTTCAAAAGGGGATTAGCGTTTA